GAGAGGGAGCTAAGGGGGAGGGGAAATGAGGAGAGAGGGGGAAATGAGAGAGGATTTGGGGAAAATCTTTCTCTCGGGCGCGGGCTGCCCAAATTTTTTGGGCACGTCCGCACCCAAATTTTTTTCCCTCTTTTGGGTTTTAGCTACGGAATTTCCGTCGCTAAAAGGGGTTTTAGCGACGGCATTTCCGTCACTAAAACTACTTTTAGCGACGGAAATTTATTTCTGTCGGAAAATTAATGGCGACGAAAATTTTCCGTCGCTAATAGTGAAATTTCCGTTGGCAAAAATTTTTTGCCGACGAAAAAATAGCAACGGAAAATTCCGTCGCTATAACATGATTTATAGCGACGGAATTTTCCGTCGCTAAAGTCCCGTCAGCAATAGTTCATTTTCTAGCAGTGACGGAAGGTCCGAACCCCGTGATCATATTGTGTGTTTGAATGTGCTTTGGCGTTTATTCTTATTTATGCTCATTGATCATTTCGCCATTGTCTCATTATTTATATGATCCACTATCTAGTTCATATTATTTACCCCTTGTGTTAGTTTATATATCCTTGCATATATATATAATTCATCATATAGGATATATCTCATTGTTTATATTGCATATTCTTGCACATAACTCTTTGTATATCTATCTTGCAAGAATATATTTATTAATTAGTTTTAATTAGCATTTAATCGGATTAGATTAGCATAAGACCCTAATCACCCCCCCCCCCTCTAGGGTCTAACAATCCGAAGATCTGTTGGCACCTAATCTCTTAACTTTGGTCTGTTTTCCCTTGATACATTTAACACATACGTCGAAGTCCAAAAAATCAAGGGAATCTAAAATGCCATTAGACACAAGATGCTCAACTTTACCTTTTGAGATATGACCCAAGCGCTTATGCCATAATATCACCGAATTTTTTTTATTTAATTTACGCTTAGTACCACGTGATTCCACATGCAAGGATTCATTATAAGAAGCAATTGTATCAAGCAAATATAGGTTGTCATAAGTACTCAAGTAACCAGTTCCCACAATATTTGAATTAAAAGATAAACTGAATTGATTGTTTCCAAATGAACAAGAATAACCTGATTTGTCCAATACTGAAACTGAAATCAAATTCCGTCTAAAAGACGGTACTACAAAAGTATCTTTTAAGTCCAAATAAAAACCAGTTCCTAATAGCAACCTAAAATGTCTAGTTGCTTCCACATCTACCGATTGTCCGTCGCCCACAAAGATGTGTCTTTCAACATCACTTGGCTTTCGGTAGTTCAGGCAACCCTGCATAGAAACACTTATGTGAGTAGTAGCACCAGAGTCTAACCACCAAGTGTTTCTAGGTACTGAAGCTAAATTAATCTCAGAACAGACCAAAATAAGGAACGTACCCTTATTAGCACGCCAGGCGTGATATTTGGTACAATCCTTCTTTACGTGTCCAGGCTTGTTACAGAAGAAATAACCCTGATTATCCTTATGTTGTTTCTTCTGAACTGGACCCTTAGCAGCTTCATTATCATTCTTTCTTTTCTTGTCCTTATCCTTAGAGGCATAGGCCAAATGAGTACTTTCAGTCTTATCTTGCTTCAACCTGTCTTCTTCTTGCACACAATATGAAATGAGCTCATTTAGAGTCCATTTCTCTTTTTGGCAGTTATAACTGACCTTAAACTGATTGAATTGTGCAGGAAGAGACAACAGAACCAGATGCACCAATAACTCATCACAAAGATCGAGTTTAAGTGCCTTAAGCTTTGAAACAATATGAGATATTTCCATAATGTACTCCCTGATATTTCCTTTGTCCTTATACTTCATTGAAATCAAGCGAGCTAAAAGCGTGCTTGTTTCTACCTTATCGTTTTTCGCAAAACGTTTCTCAATTTCGGTAAGGAAATCTTTTGCCTTAGTAATCCCTTCGGATTTTATGCCCCTGAAGGCTTCCGGAACGCCGCGCTTAATGATCATAAGACTCATGCGATTTGAACGCTCCCACTTCTCATACTCCTTCTTTGCATCAGGAGTGCTATCCGCATTGAGAGGTTGTGGTTGTTCAATTCTTAATACAAGGTCTAAATCCATGCAGTCAAGAACAATTAATATGTTCTCTTTCCAAACCATGAAGTTTGTCCCATTTAGCATGGGAATTAAGTTGATGTTAGCAGAAATTGTTGTAGCAGATGCATTAACTGAAATAAAACAAAAAATGCTCACATTAATAACCATAATTAATAATCAATAAAATTCAAATAATGACAAATCCCATCCAAGATATCTGGCATAACATTAATATCAAATCTTTGGACAGTAATATTAACTTGTAAGTGATACATTGTTGCAACGATCAAACATTAACAATAACTCATGTCAAATAATGAAACTATCTTTGGATCGATTCATTATTCACATGTAAACCTTATAATTGTCACACGCTTATCATCGCAGATGTGTATACAGTCTAAATAAATATTAACCTTCCTTTTGGCCGATTAAATATTTACACGAAAGCATACACACAAACATCTCACATTCCTCATAAACAATCTACACAAGAGAGGTTACTTTGGCAACTTCTTGTTTTAATTAATCAATTGGAGTGAGAGACAACCTTAATACCTTAGTGTCATAATATTTAAATTAAATAATTGATAAAAAAACCAAATTAAATTTAAATTAAATTAAATTAATTTAAATTTTCATAGCTTAAATAGGGCCTCATTGCTTAGTTAGGGCCCATAACTTAATTGAATAAATTAAGTATACCAAAGTGGACCCATAATTTAATATGAGAAGCCGAGGCTTAACCATAGTGAACATGAAGTTCGCTTGACTTTGAACGCGAGGTTCGTCTGTATTGAGTACGAGACTCACCAAAGCACGAACGCGAGGTTCGTCTGAAAATGAACGTGATGTTCAACTTAAGAACGAACGCAAGGTTCGTTTGAAGAATGAACGTGATGTTCAACTTGAGAACGAACGCGAGGTTCGTTTGAATCGAGTGGGAGGCTCGCCTGAGAACGAACGTGAGGTTCGACTTAAATTGAGCGCGAGGCTCACCTGAGAATGAACGTGAAGTTCGTTTAAATTGAGCGTGAGGCTCATCTTAGAACTGAGCGCGAGGCTCACCTTAGAACTGAGCGGGAGGCTCACCTTAGAACGAACGCGAAGTTAGTTTAAATTGAGCGTGAGGCTCACCTTAGAACTGAGCGCGAGGCTCACCTTAGAACGAACGCGAAGTTCGTTTAAAGCTTTCAAGCCTCACCAAAAAATTTGAGGTAACCACCTCCTTAATTTTTGCCACGTTTTCACGCACGAACCCTAAGGGTTTCAATCTGAAACCGCCGCCGCCATTTCTCCTGCACCCAAGGTCGAAACCCTAGGGTTTCCTGACGCCGCCGTCGCCGTCAGAGTCGAGAGCGAGGCCGCCAGTGAAACTTCGTCAGCGAGGAGCATGGGACCGAAGACCAAACCCAAAAAATCCAAAAAATTCTCGATTTTATTTTTAAAACCAGATCCAGAATCGGAAAAAACAAAGGATGATTTCTTGATCCAGATCCAAAAAAAACGAAGAAAAAATCCAAAAAAAATAAAAAACTTTAATCTTAATAAAAAACTGTTCATCCAAAAAATAAAAAAAGATACTGTTCATCCATGAACAGATCTGAATAATACAAATTAAGATCAAGGAATCCTAATTTTAATCTTAATCTCTTAGAACAAATCAAGATGGCTCTGATACCACTTGTTGTATCTAATAAAAACTTGAGATCTAAACCTTAAAGCCATGATTAATTCAAAGAGATTAACAAGAATCAAAATTCTAATAAAAACTTGAGATCTAAACCTTAAAGCCATGATTAATTCAAAGAGATTAACAAGAATCAAAAAAATACGGAAGCATATACCTGAATCCATTGAAGAAAACCTGATTAGGGTTTTGATGATCTTCTAACCTTAGGGTTTCTCTAGCCAAATTTCTCTCTAGATGGGGGTGAAGAGAATTAGAGAATGTAACCCTAGATTAGGGACCATAACCCCTTATTTATAGGTGTTGTACATTTATAATTTGGCCCCTCATCAAATTACAATTACAACCTGATATCTGCACATATAACCCCATGATTATATTTAAATACCCATTAACCCAAATTGATTAATCACTTTAGTGGGTTATCGTGAATGATAGCAATACACACAGATTAATCATATGTGCCCACAAATAGATTTAATTAGATTTAAATCCAACAAGAGGTAGCTGCAGGAATTCCGAGGAGGTTAGAGGATATTAAGGTAGCAATAGAGGAAATCGCGATCAAAACATAAGTGGTGTAGTTTGCGTAAACAGGCACCACCCCCATAGGCGCTCCTAAGATCTAGACGGGTGGCCCAGATACTGCCTAGGAATACGTAAGAGCCTAGACAAGCTAGGTGGGAGCTTTTTAAAAGATTGTGTTGCACGTATAAGAACAAAATAGTTTGCAATTTACATACACTAGGTAATCAGCTGGTTGGAGGTAGAATAGTAATGGTTGTATACTCATATCCTGTGAGGCGAGTTTATCATTCTAATATTCTACATATTCCATTTCAAAAGGATGACAATTGAAAGACAAACCACTTCATCATCCCCAACAAAAAGAAGAAGAAGAAGAAAGGAAGGAAGGAAGAGAGGAAGAAAGAAAGAAAGAAATCACCGGCCAGAATACTAGCAGCATGCAGATATTCCCGCAAAATACGAAAAGAAAAGGAGTTACGTGCTTTCTTTAGAGTTTTTTTTTTGTCAATGAAAATTTTTATTCATTTACCAAATATGAGAATTTTATGTACATCAAAGTATCTCCTATACAATGAGATATCCAAGACCTGAATCAGTCAAAGAGAAAAAACAAAGAAAACTGTGAGTGTACAGGTATTACAGGGAGCATAACCACTCCTTATTCTCATCCGATATTGGTGCATTAAGATTGGACATA